TTTCCAATTTCCAACTTGCCAATGTCTATAAATAACTTAAAACGAGTCAATATACACAACTCGCATGTATTCAAAAAATGCATGCCAAATTCATGCCGTTTTTGAAATTTTGAACCCGACTCGAGCTTAACAAAAATCGTAATAATCAAAATTTAAATATATGCATAATTGAGCATAAAAATCACTTAGTGTTACCTACTACCTAGTATACCCTATCCGTCAGTTGGCTGCAAATTGCAACTCGTGTTGAAAAATACTGCTATATTATAATCTATAGTGCCTATAATATACTGAGAACGCTAACGATAGGAATATTCTTATATTAAGTCATATTACGTTGTATATTTTTTTAAACGCAGTCATTTCAGGTAGGTACATAATAATATAATATATTATTATTATAACAAAACGAAATAGGTTAGTATTACCGTGATGGACCCACGGTGCAGCAGCTGTAAACACGATGGTTGTTATTCGGCTGTGTGCAATAATAATAATAATAGTATCTCCGATGACGGTCTTAACATTATATTATATTAATATATAGGATGGACGAACTGCAGCTCAATAATAATATCGATGTGTATTATAAATAGGGCGTTTTACGATTTTACACAAGCTCGCCAGTTTATTACGGTCGGCCCGTCCGTCGCTCCTCTGTGTTATTAGGACCGACCGTCAATGCAGTTATATTATTATATATAATAATTAATATAAAGCGTAGGTAAGGTTACCCATGTACGCGTTTACACAATGTAACCGTCCTACCGGGCTTTTACCTGCCGCATGCAGCCGACTAAAGACCATCACTTTAATATATATAATCCCATCGTTTTGCACTGCGTATATAGTTACCTATAAACACGTATCTAATATTATCAAAAAGTAACCATAGCTATATATACGAGTAGGAGGTATAGGGGTATATACCTACCCCAAATATATTATAATTTAATGTGATTTGTAATGCGTATAATTGTTGTGTTATTTTTATAAAAAGTAAACGAGACTTTTAGAAAAACGTACAAATTGCCGTTATATCATAATAGCCAATAGGTATAGGTTAGGTATAGGTTCAATTAATATTGGTACCTAGTCAGAAAAAAAATCCACGAGCAAAAGAGGCACGGAATTTTTGGAACGAAGTTTTTTGAACCATTGCTTGTAGGAAGGCAATTGCATGATTAAAATAATAATATTATATCATATATTTTCATTTTATGTCCTACCCGTTTTGGGTACATTTGCGCCAAATTAAAAAAGGTACCTATACTAAAGATACCTATGTTTATTCCGACAGTCGATTTGCACCAAATTTACCTGCAGGGTAAACATTTTACAATAACGAATTGGTGTAATAAATATTTAAAACCACGACATACCTTATATTATAATAAAGATATTTTTATAAGTCTATAGAATTTAAAGTTTTGTATATTATTGGGTAGACAGATTGAGCAAAAATATGTATTATTGAAAATTATTTTTAAATAATACAGCTACTCTCCAATTAATTTACATAGTGTATAATATGATAAGTAAGTTTTCTTCAAAACCGATATTGTTTTTTGGTTTTACTCAAAAACGAATAACCGTATAGATGTTAGTTACTTGCAATTTGTACGTACCAAATGTTTAAGCTAGCATTTTCTGTTCACAATGAAAGTTTTCAGAATATTTTTAAATTTTTTGAGCTATTTATAGACATTTGACTTTTTCGATTAAGTTTAAGTTTTTTTCTTTAAATTTCAATAAAAAAAGATCTTTACACCAGTTACAAAAAAAAAAACGAAAGTATACCTGCAGTGCAATATAGTCACGATTTTCACAAGCCACATAAATTAATTTTTCACAAGCGTGTTGACGCGTTTGTTAATAATAACCAATAATATAGGAAATAAAATAAAATAAAAACCAATTGAATAAGTTATAACTTATAAGTAACAATGTTACAAAAACGTTTATTTATGTAAATCATAAATGCATCTGAAGTGGGTATAACAAATAACAATCTTATATCGTAGACTGTAGTTAACATTTTTTTTTGAGCTTGAGTTCGAGGATCGAACACTATCATATTATAAACTCTGCAGTATATCACAGAACATACCAATGTCGCCTGCAGAATCCGTCTGTACCGCTATGTTCGCCATTGAATATACCGCCTTAACACCGGGCCGGCTAAATGATTGCGACTTGCCAACGTGATTTTACAACAATTTTGGGTAAATTCTGCAGATGGAGTCTGAATCTCGAATTCAGACGACTTTATATCCTGAACTTCTGCGATAATCGACATGATGTAGACTATATTAATATCTTATAAGAAAAGTCAGTTATAACTTTTAGAAAAATATTACAATGAATATACTTATAGGTACAGCGTGTTCGTTGTAACGATACAGAAATAATAAACTATGACACAGAAACGAAAATATATATTCCAAACAGTATAGGTATTGTATATATAGTTGTCTATAGTAATAATATTTTTAAAACTTTCGTCTCGGGAATAAAATATAATATATTAGTTTATTAATTATCATAAAAATATATTAAATTCAAATTTAAAAAGCGGGTAAGTGGATGTCGCTTTGCTGTACAGTAGGCTAAAAATGAGTCAATGTGTAATGGATTGTGTTAAACTTGAATTCAATGATATGATATCATTATATACAGTGGCGCCCAAGATATATTTTTCAGGTGTAGCGAGAAATAATTTTACCCACCCACTCACCCTCTCACAAACTCAAAATTATATTATTTTACACATTTTATCATATTTTAATTGATAATATTAGTAAGTATTGAGGTATCAACCAATATAATCTGTGATTAATAATGAACATATTTCAAGTTAATTATTTTATGTTATTATACCCTTATTTTCAATGTGCTATCTCTACACCTAGTAACAGGGTTGGGTGCCACTGATTGTATAAGAAAAACGATTCTGAGCGGAGACGGTTTGTCAGTCTGGATATTTTATATGGGTTTTATTCATTATAAACTGTACCTAATTTGAATTAATTGTACATTTGTACCTATAGGTAATATTATTATTTTTTATTCGTTTCTATTCTACCCGTAAAAACTGATTTTTTCATTGTTAACGATAAAATTAAAACGATAAAAGGCACATATTATGCCCTTGTGTCCACGAAAACTGGGTACACTTCAGTTACTTACATTACTCAGTATTCTATATATACATATTTGGATATTTCAGAAGCCTGTCTGAGGGATATTGATGACCCAATAGTCTAGTTTCGTGTCTCGAAAAAGAATTCAAAAATATGTAAGTACTGAGTTATATGGGTAATTTAATTATAAAGTGTACTTACCCTGTTTTCACGGATATACGGTATAGGGAAGTCAAATGAGTCACTTCATAGTTGATATACAAACTAACCGTTTATCTTACTTCATGGAGATAGGTTTCTACACTGGTTTCCATGTCCTTCCCATATAGATAACAATGTTTTATTAATTATTTAAAAGTTAGGTATGGTGGCTCAGTAGGTTAGGCATTAAGTTAGAACTCCTTTAGTAAATGTCCGTTTACAGATCAAAATATCATGAGCTGGGCCCTAAATTTATGTTTCATTATTTTTAGACGTTTTAACAACCAATTCTGCAGGAGTTATTTTAGTTATCTTAAAATAGTTGCGACCGCAGATTTTTATAATGATGTAATTGTAAAAATACTTTTTATGAAGTTAATTTGAACTAAAATATTATCTAGCTGTTTAGATTGTCCTATGTCGTATTGTAATTGAAGATATATAGAAATTAGGTAAATTAAGCCAAATGGTCACTGATAATTACATGGGCCGAAAATTAACGCTCAAATGTGTATGGTATTGACTAATTAAGTAGGTACTCGCGACGCTACCTCAATCCAGACATCCAGCAAATTCCAGCTACTAACAAAGCAATAAAATTTATAATACTATACCTGAATAACCAATGGCAAACGGGAATTCACGTTTTACAATGTTTACACATAAATCAGTTCGGCAACAAACACTTTATTTTTTATTTTATTCTGAGGTAATCCTGAAAACTGTATATTATGCAGAATATTGGTTCAATAACATTTGCAGTTTCACCCGGTTATCTATATAATAATAATATTTTCCAAAATTATATAAATAAGAAAAATATACACCACTGCAGAATACTGACGGAGAAAAATATTATATTAATATCCCATGATATAATAATATATTATATTATATAAGAAGTCAGTATACCATACAGTGTTTTTAAATGGAAACACGAACGTTCAACGCACAAGTGGAGCAATTTACGTCGTCTGTCTGTAGCTCGGCTACCGTTGTAAATATTTGGGTATAATATATGTTCCATGTAGCGCCTGCAATAGTAGTAGGCCAATGCGTGTCCGGTGAAAGTAGAATACTATTTATTATTAATATATTGTGTATATATACATTATACCTACTATACCTAGTACTTGGGTGACTCTGAGGAGGTCCCGATAACCGTGTGGTGTTCGATGTCGTTTCACACCTAAATACCTAATACAACCGCTCACACACACATCCGAGTAATGGATACGACGTGTTAAGCCCTCTTTAAATTGGCCGAAATACGCGAGAAAATAACACTCCATATATTATAATATTATACTATATTATATAAATGTAAAGGTATACCAATGTGGATTTTGTTTTCTCATAATAGTATAAATGTATAATAAACTCGTTATGTAATAATATTGAACGATTTATTCGTAAAAAACTAAAAAATATAATACATTAATTATACTTTATATACAATATACATAATAATAACATAATAATAATAATAACAATACAATAATAGTTAATAGCTAGTAGTAATAATACAATATTCTAAAATGTCTTGTATTTACGTTATTTTTGTACATTAATTCACCGTATGAAAAACTGCGATAAATTTTATGGTAAACCAACTATGTGTTTCAGCCGGTATTATGCGTTCAGGTACCTACAATGTTAGTGGTCGTCGCCGATTCCCAGCAGAGTTTTGATACTGAAATCGGTCAGACTTCCGTTTCGGACTGTGTCGGGAGACGCCACGGCGGCCACTGCAGCGGTGGCAGCAGTTCCGGCAGTTCCGGCAGTTCCGGCAGAGGAGATCTGCGTGGCTATCGCCTGGTGCCGTTGGTATTGGTACCATTGACATTGCGCGTTCTTCCGGTGACTGACCAACGTGCGCATTTGACAGAAGCCTTTGCCGCAGGATTCGCAAGAAAACGGTTTGTCCTTCATGTGAACGTATCTGTAGAAATAAGTTATAATATCGTTAGAAAATGTTTAAAAAATATATTATATGAAATGCAATATAAAATATAATTTTTAATAGCTGTTCAATATATAATACTGTATGATATTATTTTTATTAATTAATATATTATTATACAGTGTGACTTCCGTTATCGGCCAACGCCTTACATTTTATACGATCAACTATTTATTTTTTTCGGATCTCTTTAAGTGTTTTGTAAAAAAAAACACTGATTTACCCATATTTACCCTTCCTTGCCTATTTCATATAAAATGACACGAGTTTCGAATTTAAATGAGAAAAAAAATTAAATGTCCTATTTATACAGCATTACAGCTACTGCAGTAATGTTAATGTGTAATGTACTTATGCAGGATGACGTGCCAATATAAAACCAAATTCCATTGGTGGAATAAACGTAATAAAACTATATAATTTTTAAAAATTTGATTGCATAACACTAAATTACCTAACTATATAAAACCTTATAGACAAGATATGATGTCCGTATATGCATGGTCAATTTACGTGTCATACTGTCACATAAGACATACCTAGTTTAACATGTCTTATGCGACAACTGACACATACATATGCGTACGGACATAAGAGTGTAATGTTAGGCACAAGATTTTCGTACTCCCTTTATAAGTGCTTAAATAGGTTGATATTTTAGTTGCCTGAGGGGTATCTATATAATTACACGCCGATGCGGTTTACCGATGTCGAGTGAATTTATGAACGAATATTTGTACACCAGTAAAATTTAATTTGAACTTTGTCTATACTGAAATGAATTTAATATTGTGTTTTTTTAATTACTTGTGATCTCTGAGGTGGTCCTGTCTGCGGAACGCCTTTCCGCACACGTCACAGGGGTACGGACGCTCGTCCGTGTGGGTCCTGACATGTATGAGCAAGTTGTACGACTTGCTAAACTCACGGTCGCAGTAAGTGCAAATGTACCGTTTCTTGGGTTTGCCACCCGGCGTGGTTGCCGTCACTGCGGCCATCTGCTTCTGGACGTTCCTGGACAGGGCCATGGCCCGGGCGTAGCCTTCTATCTGGCCACCGGCGAAAGCTCCCGGATGTGGCCGGAATCTCGCCCAGACCGCGTCCACGTACAGCGACGGGAAGTTGCAGTCTAGCAGGCCTCCCGCGCCTCCGAATCGGGCGGCGGCGAACTTCATCGATTCCCCTGTGGCCATCATGGTGTCGATGGTATGTCCGTCTGAAAATAATTACCAACGCATCCGTTATAGCATATAAGTTAAGTCAGAAAGCCTATACAAGAGGGCGTAGTTGTCAAAAAACGATTAGTACGTTTTTATATAACCTGTAAGGCAGCTATACTACACTTTTCTACAACTGCACGTATACTATATTTATAATATATATAAATTAAATACGAGGATAGGCTGGAAAGCGTTATACAAAATGGGAAAATGAGTTCAAAATTTTGCACGGCGGTAAATCACCCGGAGATACAATAATACTGTTGTATAACATTGACTTTACTTATGAAGGATATGTAGTGGACACCGAGTTAACGTAGTTCAGACGGAAGAACGTTGGGATTTATAGGTGATGGTACGTGATAGACATTTAAAAAACTCCGCGTTTACGTTGAGATGATTGTTAAAAAATGTATTATAATTTAAAGATGCATGAAAGATAGAATTACTGCAGTGAAAGGCAGTACCAGATGGTACAGTTAAATGAACAAGAGGGCATTACTGGAAGGGATGGTCTATAAGTCCGAAACTATCGAAGTAAAAAATAAACATATTAAACGAGTAGGTAGTATATATAATATATTGACATAGGTGCTGTGCGTTGTTGTTTACATAGGCTATCTACTATAATTGTATAATTGCACGATATTCATAATAATGATATTATGTATTAATAATATAATATGCAATATTTTTTAAATACTGCTTTTAAAAATTATTACTGTAATACTGTCCGAGGCCTCGTTAACTAAAACAGAGCGACACCTAAGGAGTAGTACGAGCGAAATGTGAAGAAGATACGTTACAGTACGTTTATTATGGTTTTATAAAATATTGTTTCTTTACCAGCTAAGCGCGATATCAAAATTTTTGTTTTTGTAATAATCCTTGCAGATGGCCGATTTATGTAAGATACCAATAAAGTATAAACACTTTTTAAGTTGAATTCATGAAAAAAGTCATGGGAGTTTTAAAGTTTAAGGTTGATTGGTGGGTGGATCTAGGCACCTATAATGTATAATATAGTTGAATGTATAGTTGGTGGGCGGCCGTGAACGAGAACACTTGATACAGGTACTCTGCACCTACCTATATAATATAATAATAACGATAACTGATATACTGCTGTGGAAGGTTCTGAAAACACCGGGAGGAGTTTCATTACTGCAGGGTTATTATCATTATTATATATTATATAATATGACATAGTTAAGTTTTCGATTTTAAACGACGAGCACTTTCAATAGAATAGTAGCCATGACTCACACCGTGTAGTGTATAATATATAATAGGGTCGTATTTTCGGGTACTGCAGCAGTTTAATTTGATTATCGGGTTCTCGTTCGATATTATATAGGTATAGGCGGGTAACTGTGTATTTTACACAGGAATAGGTCTCGGATTCGATGATGAACTAGTAGTTATGTAATATATATACGTATTATGATGAGGCCCGTTATAAAATCGCACAAAACGTATATTTAATATTTACTCAGATTCGATTATTAGGTATTATATAAGTTAAGGTGAAAAATACATTGAATTTAATAATCATATAGTGCATCTATTACCGCTGTAAAACGCTTTATATTTGGGAATAAAAAAAAAACAAAAACACGACACATACCTTAGTATATTATTCAAACAGGCGATGTTTTGTTATTTAAATATTTTATCAAATCATTATATTTTTTTTTTATTTCAAACAATATATTGTACCTATACATTTTATATCGATTCTTATGTTAGAATGCAACTAGAATTGCTGATATTATATTATTTAATATGCTTTATTATAATTGTTAAAATCATTATATAATATGTATTATAAGTAGGTATTCAGTTAATTAAAATTCTATAGGAATTATTGGTAAAAACATTATTTATGTTATTTATATATTTTCTAAATGGATTCAGTTTTCATCTTTTGCATGAATATGCATGTTTAATTTTACTTCAGAGTTCGGAATTGATAACCTTCAGTATATCTTATTATTATCGCCGTGTAGATTTATTTGAAAGTTATAAAAAGCTAATGATTGGTCATAATATTAATGTAATTTGACTAAAAATAGGGGTTTTCCAAAGTAATAAAGACGGTTGAGAATTAAAAAAACATTAGAAAATCATAACAATTTACCTTAGTTTCCTTGGTCCGGATTTTGTATATTGTGTTAGGTACTGTACAATATTCGGCTGGCGTCTGTGTAAGTATATTATACTTAATATCCCAAACGATTGTTGACAGTGAACGTATAATATAAAATAATTATATTATAGTATGGTGCAGAACGTCGATGGATATATTGTGCTGTTGGCAGCTAGGGGATGCGATTGTCGACGGTCGATGGTGAGCGGTGGTCCGTTGTCGGGTGACTGACGATTGCGCCGCCGTGGGCCACCGCCACCGCTGCAGCCGATAAGGGTTGAAATCAGTGGAGGCGGCGAGGGTGGGTTCTTGCGGACGCGGCGCCCATTGGTCGCGAACGTCGGCGGCGGCGGCTTTAAGATCCGTGAAATCTGTCGGTCCCCGCACGCCTATATATACCCCGAGCGTGGGGCGGTGTAGCGTACTTACGATCAGGACAATATATATATACACACATGTGAAAGGGAAATAATAATAAAAATCATCCCTATACATATGCGGCGGGTTTTTATATTATATTGTCAGGGCGCGACGAGACGTGCTTAATATAATATATATATACGGCGGTCTATGGTTTAATGATACGGTTTTACGCCTCCACTTGTGTGTGTACGTGTGTGTGTGAGTGTCATCCCCGGCTTGAGCCTGTAATTAAAAAAAAACCTGCCCGGGGCTGTTATTAAATAAAAAAATATATATACTCTTTATACAATGGTATAGCCCTCCGACGAGTATACTATAATGTGAGTACAATAATATCATAATACACGTAAACAAACGTTTATACGCTCGTACGTGATGCATATATTATAATTTATAATATATATGTATGACGATACATGGACGTATATGTGTGTGTGTGTGTGTGTGTGTGTGTGTGTGTAATGTGTGGAAACAATGGAAACGATAGGTGTAATATTGCATATACATACTATACGTCATATTATAAGAGCGCATCAAAAGTCATGATTTGGATACGGCGAAGAAATTGTTCCGAGTATATTATAATATTATGGAGACAATACCATAATGGTAGAATAACAATAATAATATAATATGATATGGCCGCTTGTTCCGCGCAGGACAATAATAATATTATTATAATGACTATATGGGTGCAGCGTAGGTACCTATAATGTTATATTACAAGTCTGAGCTGTAATGAAATTTCAAAAAAAAACAATTTGTTATAATATTGTACTGCAATGCATCATAATATTATTATAACATATTATTTATACGAACGTGTGATGAAAAGTGTATCGCCCTGACGCGTTCTGGGTAAGTATAATGGTATGACAGGAAGATCAAAAAATATATATGACACGCGTTTCGCCCATTCACCATTGTATCTGTACGTAATATTGTTCGGACCACCGCGGTGCAGAAGAACTCATACTTCTACATAATATTATGATTTATGATATATTTATATATAAGATTTGCCCACGAATGTAAGAACGGAAAATACACACCGTAACATATAGTTTTCTTTACGATTGTCCAAGTCTCGAACGAATGTATGTATCATTTATACTGACCAAAAATTATTAGAGTAAACATTACACGATACGAGTAGACGTATACATCTCCGTTGCCTATAATCAAATTATATTTGTTCAAATTTAGATTATAATAATTATTGTTAAACATTAAGTAATAAACACGTATAGTATAAAAACCAACATCACACTGTATCGCACTTCGCACGGAATTGCATATTGACGGTCGCTCTGTTTGGAAAATTGTTTGGACATATATTCAGGTGGATACTACTACCTATACTATTAATCCAGACATCGATATTTATATTAATTGTATCATGTATTATTATTATTATGTCCTCGTGGTTCATGTGAAGATGAAAACCATCATATTGACGGAAAAGGCTCTTTAGCCCCACAGCCGCATCCTGCTTCACCTAACTGGTCACCGAAATGTTGGGTATATTCACATAATTTGCATTTATATCATTGAGTTAATTACGTTATTATTATTGCTTTCTCTTCCGGTTTCGCAAATACTACCTATTACCTGTAATTTGCCAAGCAAAAAAAGTGTGTATACACACTCGTTGACCGCCGCTATTATATTGTCAGTTTTTTTCATTTTTTACTTTGGCGCAAACCTTTAGCGTTAATGGTTATGGTACACACGCAAATACGCAATGGTTATGGTTATATAATTATTGGTACACAGTGCGCATACGACCTGTAGGTATATAAATTAAGGTACATTGTTATATAGGCGGACAGTGCCGCATTCATCATAATTACCGCTCTAAATTGAGCTAATATTTCAACTCTGCATCGTATACTGCAGTGTGATCATCGTATAATATTCGTATTAGCTATATATTGTTGTATGATCGTATGTCATAATGTGTATTTTTCTCTTTACGCTTTTTAATGTTTTACGCAGTGTTACTCATCTAATTTTTCATATACAGTGCTGTACAGGATGATAGCGCTATTGCAGGATGATGATGAGTAGCACACAATATTATGTGAATAACGGGCACGAATATTTACGACCAGAATACAACTATTTTATTACGTCAAGTTATTATTTATTATTGAATAAATTTAAAAATAAATACGATTTACGATTATTCATAAAAATTGTAAACACATATTATTATTATGTTTATTTACCAATAATTATGGTGAGTATTATGAGGTACCTATTGACGTGATATTTTTTAATTTTCTAAAATATACGTATTAAATACACTAGGACTAGGGGATATTAAACATACTAATATCAAATTTATCCCTATTTTAATTATAAGCACATAACTTATCTGAGATATAGTAATTTTACCTAT